TAAAATGGGTGGTTTTGTTTACACAATTAAAGGTACTTGCATCTGTTAGGGGTGAATTGAACATGGGGTTTTATCTACTGCACATCAAATTCAAATGTGTCCACATCAAGCCAGAGTAATTTGAGGTCTTGCAGGTGAAATTCAGGAGACAGGCAAGGGACAGAAATTATGCATAAACCGGTTTAAGTAAGCAGAAACTGGTTTAAATATGTAACAGAACAGAAGTTCAATGCATATAAACTAATTTCAAAATGGCTGAAACTGTTTTAAGATAAACCTGGTTGAATGTAGTAGCAGACTTAACTGACTTGGGTCAAACTGCTTTATGAAACTTCACTCCCAAACCCCTTCCTGAAGTTCTCTCCCAGGCCCTGCTTTGTAAAACTTCTCTTCCAGACCCCTGGGGATCACAATCCACCAGCATCCCAGCATACTTTCTAGCCCTGGGCTGGGGTATGCTATCTATTCTAGCAGAGAAGGGTTTGGGGGGGAAGGGAGGAAGCAGGGACTGCCCCCCACCAGCAAACCCTGGCTGGGGGTTAAACCCTCCTTCCACCCTGCCCTGCTAAAGTTACTGCTGGCTGCAACTGCAGACTACAAATCCCAGAGGCAGCTGGAAACAGGAGGAGGAAGCGATGAGCAACCCTGCACAGTCCTGCTATTGTGATTCTGGACTGCAAATCCCAGAGACTTTGGGACCAGCAGGAAAAAGAAGTGAACACACAGTCCATGCTGACTACATGCCAGAGAGATGTGGTCTGGCACCCCCTGGCATCTGGCCTGACCCACTGCAGGCATGTGGCTGCATTTCCTGAATCAGACGTGAATGTCGGTACAGTTGTTTCCCAGTGTAATCTCTGCAGTTTAGATTAACCTGCAAATACTGACTTAATTCAGCCTTCGGATTTTTGGCTGTCTGTACTTAAACTTAGAGAACTACCCCACCCACCAACCTGGGCATTTCCACCAGCCACCAGGCAGAGCTGACTGCCTTGCTTCTGGAGAACTCCCTTGTCTGTGCAGTTCAGTGCAAGCTAAATTGTTAGAGCCTTTCAGTCTCTAATTTGGAAATGCCTATACAATATCACCTATTAAGGAGGAGCTACTTGAAAAGAAAGGCTAAACCCAAGGGTCTAGTTTGATTTTGCTGTTTTCATTTAAAGGTGAGCCATAAGCATCATTTAGTCATCACAAGTAAATGAGAAGTATAATTTATTTATCTGTGTTCCATTAAGAGTCATTCTACATTAGGATGAGTATAGATACTTGCAAGTGTATAAGAAGATGCCATTTTTACTTTCACCCCACACATTTCTGCAGGAGCTGTAGAGGTCATGTAGACCGTAAAGCATGGAGACTGAAAGTGCGGGGATTTAAATCCACAGCAACATAGACTGCAGACAGATGTAATGGTAAAAAATGGGAGGGAAGGTGGGGGCTTCCTTATCAAGGGTGTGCATCGGCTGAATTGGTGTAACTATTTCATCTGCCTATCCTGCCCCCATGTAGTAGAGCTAAACTACTGGAACGTTACACTCTTGCATTCATGTTTATGTGAATGAATTGAACAGGTTAAGATCAGAAGTCCTGATTAAAAGTATGTGGAAAGATTTGCACATTCATGAAGCCCATTGATGTGCTATTGGGCATCTGTACAAACACAGCAATTTGTACTTTGAATTATAGGGTAAGGGCTGTGGTCTTTATGTTGGGTCCTTCTTGAGGTCTTTAAGGGATTTTGATTAAACCTCCATTACTCATTGGTCTCCTTAGTTCATTTGCCAAGTAGATCATTATCTCTATATCTATGCCAACAACCAGTGTAGGCAGCTGTGTTCATTGCATTCCTTCCTTGAGGTGTTAGGGATGTCAGTAATTGTAGCTGGTAAAACAAAGTACCCTAGATGTGCATCTTGCAAGGCAGGGAAAGGAGGGAATGATTTTCAGGTTTTTCATATGAAACCGTTGTTATGTGTAAGTTCTAAGTCAGCATATGAAGTCCATCATTACTATGGATCCTGAATAGCTTTGCTTAAAGAAACAAAAGTTATTTCTGTGTATTAGAAGAGTGTTTCCTACATGGTGTGAACTTGTGAGCTCGGTTTGAAAATAGCATGCCTGCACTTTGCACACCTAGACTGGCATGCAAAAACAGAGTAATTAGCTCACTGTTTTTTTCTGCTCTATTTAGAAGTACAAATTGCCATTTTACAAAGGGGAAAACAGTGAGTTTATGGAAGCAGTTGAGCATTTTGAGGATGTGTTTGTATTAGATTCCCTACCTGCTGACTTGTGTGATATTGCAGTCACACAGCAGAAGATACATGAGTTAGGTCCAGTGCCACATGTGCTTTCTTAAAGCCCCAGCTCCTGGACAGAAGTGATTCTGAGGCAAGCTCAGGGTTTTTTTTTTTTTTTGGTTTTTTTTTTTTTTTGGTTTTTTTTTTTTTTTGGTTTTTTTTTTTTTTTGGTTTTTTTTTTTTTTTGGTTTTTTTTTTTTTTTGGTTTTTTTTTTTTTTTGGTTTTTTTTTTTTTTTGGTTTTTTTTTTTTTTTGGTTTTTTTTTTTTTTTGGTTTTTTTTTTTTTTTGGTTTTTTTTTTTTTTTGGTTTTTTTTTTTTTTGTTTTTTTTTTTTTTTACTTTTGGGGTATCTAGCCCAGGTTTAGAGGGAAAATCTTGAAAACATGAACTGTATAGGCTCCAGAAACAGAAGATGATGAAAAAGCATGCAAAATATGTATTATTCCTACAGTCTTATGATTTAGGGGGCGTGGCACTAAGTTTGTCAATACTCATTTGACTATAAGAAGTGGTTTAAGAGGCTTAATACAACTTCACATATATTGTTGCAGGTAATTGATAGAGAAGATTACTTTGTAGCTTACTTAGTTGAATGAGGGATGGTTATTACTTGAAATATTATATTGTACATGTAAAAAGCAAACTATGACTCATGCTACTCCAAGGGATTCTTATTAACCTGGTAATGGAAGGGCCATGTTCTCTTTATGCACTTCACCGCAAGAGTGGGTTAGCAAGCTTCCTGAAGCCTTATTTTGCCCCTAATTCTGGCACTCTTTGTTGTTATGTGAAGGGTGATTGAAATGAATTACAGAAGGAAGTCAAAGCCTGCTCTCAGTAAGTAGCTGTATGTGAGATGTGTTTAGCTGCATAATGATCATTTCATGTATTCGGTGATCTTCAGGAGAGGAAATTACTTATAAGAAGGTAACTCAGCCAGAAGCATTCATCCTGGAGATGCACAGGTCTGAGCTCTGCTTGATTGGCAGGTGTCACTGGCATGTGTCTGATAAACAGCACACAAGGTACCCGTTCAGTAGACAACAGGTGAGAATCCCGAGCATCCGTCTTGTCTCATCTCTCCTATCTGATGGCATCCAAATGCTAATCTGAAATAATGGTAGTGGAAGGTATGGGTTAGGAAAGACCATGTCTGGGGGAAGAATCAATTTGCTCAGGGTTCAAAGGACCAGAAGGGAAAAGGGTTTCCCAACAACCAGAGTTCACCAAAGGAAATCTCAAAGGTTCCTTTATCTCCTGAAGTGAGTTTGGCTGGGATGGGTCCAAGGCAGAGACACTTACCTCTGCTCAGTGCTTTCTTGGACACTTGGGAGACAGTAATTCATACTGACAGAGTCCCTCCAGCAATTCCAGCTATGGACTTACACATCAGGAGTCAATTCCTGGGTTACTCTGCGCTGCAATCACACAGCAGAAGATACATGAGCTAGGTCCAGTGCCACTGAGCTAATTCATCCTGTATTGGAAGTGCAGGTGTATCCAGCGTTCAGGGAGAAAGTGTCAGCCAGTATGTGACTTTGGATTAAAAAAATAAACCTACCTCTACTGAAGGAATTTAACACCCCCTCTCCCTATGTGTTTGGCTAGGAGGCAGTTTGAAATGATGGTAAGTGCTAGTGATGTGAAATCACCACTGCATATATCATGGTTGGATAATAGCCACCGTATTGAGTCTTTTTCTCCCAAGACATTAGCTGATCAGCTCTGTGGGTTGTGGCAGTAGCTTCCACAGCGCATGGGAGAGGAAGGCATATGTTTTATTCAAGGACTTCACGCAGAACCCCGTCAGAAAAGTGTGGCACATGGAACTGACTCTGAAACAGAAAACTCTGCTCTTTTGAACACACTGCTATAGAGTAGCCTGTCTCACAGTGCATGTGCATGTGGTTTTGCACTCAGTTTTGTGTCTGTTTGGCCCGTGTTCCAACAATCACGGACCCGTTAGCAGCTGGAACATCAGTTCTGCTAAAGGGCGTAATTATATTTCCCTCTATTTGCTCCATGCTAGTGTATGAACCACAGTATCGATGCTGCTAAAATATGTGTTGACCATATTTCTCTCCACCAACTGCTATCCATATAGAAGATGTAGCCTCCAGTGATATAACCTTCTTTCAGTAGGGCATTCAACACTCTTGATATTGGCTCAGTGTTTCACCTTTAGCAAGTAACATAGTCTCTGAGCATGGGTTTCTTATCTTCAAACCCAGGATAAAAAAACTGTCTCACAGGTCCATTCATTTTAAAATTTCTATTAGTGCAATTCTTTGAGATCCTCATGAGCAATGCAAGCTATTGTTATTACTACTGCATGGGCAGGAACATTTCATGGGTTACTGCCACAAACAACCTACTCCAGTTATTTTATTGTTTAGTTTTTATTGTTGCACTTGTAAAAGAAGATATTTCACCATTCATCTCTGAAGTATGTACACTGCTCTAATGTATATATAGGTATGGAGTGAATTACTTCCCTTCAGAAGGCAAATTCTGAAGCTGTTGCTTCAATATCAACATTTTTTACTCTCTAGTTCCACTGACATTAGGGTTCATCCCAAAGGGAAAACGCAGATCCAAAGCTGGAGGATGTTTGAAATCCTGATCCACATCCGAATTGCACAGGTTGGGTTCATGTCTACTTCAAACATGAGAGTGACTTTTCTTTCCTTTGTTTTCCAGTCTGCGGAGTTCTTTGAAATGCTGGAAAAAATGCAGGTGAGTGACATGACATGACTTGCAAACACTGCACACACGCCTTATTTCTCCATGGTAAAACTGTTCAAAATGACAAGCGAAGGAGATCATGCTTACACAAAGTTCCTTAAGCACCATGCGACTTTGAAGTATGTTTTACAGAGTGGGATGATCTTACAGTACAGTGACACCTTCCATATTATTGTGTCATTGAAAATAACATCACCCCTGCTGAAACTGATTATAAAGGATATTTTACAGCATGATCTTAAGATCAGATGAAAATGTGCCGCTTTCCAGAAGGAGACCTGGTTCTCTTGAGAACAGTCCAGGTTCTGTACCACCTCTACTTTGCTCTGTTAGAAACCCAGCTCAGCTAACCAGCCTCTCAGACATTTAAGAGTGATTTCAGTGCGGTCAAATGACACTATTCTTTTTCATATGATGGCAAACCTCTGAATGATTTGTTTGTTTCAAACAGGCACCCAAACTTGAAGAACAGAGAACTGGCAGCCAGAAAAATAAGGTTGGTTTATGAGGGATGTTTCTTGTGCGTATTTTTCAAAATGATCTTTTTGGCTCCAGATGCGTGGAGGTACGGCTCCAGATATAATGTCTTGGTGCATTCTGGTTAAGACCGTGACTTAAAGGGACCCAAAGGATTTGAATTATTTCTAAAAACAAGACCCGGATTACACTGCAGGGATAAACTAGATGGTCCTTCAAATCCCTAATCCAGCTCAAGCCTGTTTCTTTCTGCCATGAGCTGCTGTAAAACGCTTTGTCTTTTAAACATTGTAAAGAAACTTGTGGCTTGGTAGCTCATGGGGAACATATTTCTGTAACAGCCTTGTTATGGAAATATTTTCCTACAAAGGATCAGGGAAGCAATAGGAAAGTCATGTAATGGTAGCTCTTCATTAGAGCAGGGATGCTTTTAAGCTAAGTTCAATAGTGTAGTCCCTCTGGTAAACTGCTGGCCTGGTCGCCTTTCTATTCAGCTGTCATTCAAAGGCAGCATGCAGCTCGGACACAAACAAACTCATGAAGCTCAAGGGAGTGTGATGGGGTAGGAAAAGATTGCATCTCCTGCGTGTTTTCTTACGGGAGGGGGCTCATTCTCTGTGTCTGGGCTGTGCTCAGCCTAAGAAGGGGGTCTTTTGGGAGCCTATTATAGTTCCTAGAGTCTGTGCTGCCCTGGCCCCTGTTGGGAGGAAGAACAATATAGGGGCTGCTCTCTGGATATTTGCCTGAGATGGGGGAGATTATAACTGGTGCCAGACTGTAGCACCCCCCAGCACTCGGACAGCCCCCCACCCTCTACCCCATGATCTCTAATGCATCTGCTTCCCAACAAACATACTGTTATGTCCCTTTTCCAAATGTGGAACCGAGGCAAGAGTGACTAAAGGATATGGCCTAAATCCTCTGACAGGGGAAGGAAGTGGATTGGGATATCCCAAGCTTTGGGCTGGTACTGGAATCACTGGGCTAATGTTCTCCCACCCTGGCTGTGTTGCCTGCGATTGGCATCCTACAAGACAAAAATTTCCACTGGTCTTTTCCAGCCAGTTATCTCTGTGTGGCCCATGCTGTTTGGCCACTGGCAAGTTATTTCTGTTCTCCGTGACTCGAGTTCCCCCTCCGTCAGACAGGAAGTGAGGGTAAACTCATGTTCTCTAAGTGCTTTTCAAGTCTCAGAAGTACCACGTTGCTCACATACAACATACCCCTTTCCCCTCAGACAGTGAGCCCCCCAAAATAGGGGTGTATGTACTAAATGGAGAAGCTTATTTTCTGCTTCAGAGAGAATTACATCTGCTTTTATTCCTGCTCCACAGTGCAGCAGCTGTGGCATTTCTATTCAGGCACCTGTGGGAGTCCATTGACATATAATGGCTCATAGTTCTTTGCATCACAGGTGTTAATGATCATCTCTCCTTTTTAATTGTCTTGATAATACAGTAATCAAGATAAGCCTTCTTACAGCAATTTGGCTATCTGCTAGCTGCTTCTGGTCTTTCCTCCTATTTCACAGTCCTTGGAGGCTCTTTAGCTTACTAAGTTTTGGCAAGCCATCGAGGGCCGCATGACAGGCAGCCAAGGGCAGATAAATATACATTTTCTAAAATTTTTTGGGGCCTCACGGGCCGAATAGAATGGCTTGGCAGGCCACATCCAGCCCGCAGGCCACATTTTGCCCACCCCTGTCGTAGATCCACCCATGGAGACCTATCTTCAGTAGCAGGTAGTGTTTCAGATTTAGGTAAGGGTGAAAGGAAGAGTGAGTCAGCTGAAGAGTAGGCCATGGCTCTTAAAGTCTCTTTTTCTTCATTCTGTCTTTAAAAAGCAAAGTGCGTAGCATATTCTGGGGCACAGAAAATACGGCAGGACAAGAAAATGTGGCAATCTGCAGCATAAGCACAAAAGACTGATAGCATTAAAGCATGTTTCTATTCCCAGTTTAATGGGATTGATGAGAAATGTTCACTTAAAATGGGAAGTCTATGGATTTAAGACATGCATAATGGGGACTAAGCAGTCATTTTGTGGTCTTGTGTTTTGTTTTGTTTTTAGGACGACTATATCCCATATCCCAGCATTGATGAGGTAAGTGTTTTCAAGCCTGTTCGGATGGCTGCAAGGTAACGCCTCTTTAAATGTGTTGATGAAAGGGTTATGGGTACAGTGTCTCATCTTGTGGGTGAGCTTTAAAACCAGGCTTCTAACCACTTGTGCTTATTAAACATCCCATCTGTTGTCAACAATAAGGGTGGTCTCCTCTAAGAAAGTGCTCTGTGGTTTTATGGGGTTTTTCTTGCTGCTGCTGTTCCTGAG